CCTTCCATTACCTGCTTGATTAGTGCATCAGTCTTCCACGTTCCCATCTTGCAATGCAAATAATTTGAGGTCTCAACAAAATGAGCGGATCAATATGTCCACAGACAGTCGAGCTGCACTTGGGACACAGATAAAACCGAAGGTAACACCAAAATTGGTTTGAGAGTGCTGTAAAGAAGTGAGGAATCAAGCGGATAGAAATAGATTAATTTTATACACCGAATGTCAGGGCTCAGGTGAAATAAGCAACGAAAAAACTGATGAAACACACTAAAACGTTTATGAGGAAATCATTCGAGAAGAGAACCAAAGAACAGCTCCAATAAAGCAGGGTCCCCAGAACAATTGAAGGTACTAACTGCCCATCAAGAGGACACTATACAACGGAGACTTCGGTTACAGATGATGCATACAGTGTGTAAAAGCTAAATGGAATAAATTCATTATTTCGGTAACTGTGCATATTTAAAAAAATCCCAAAACACGTTAAATGTAAATTATAATTTGACATTCTTCAACGTAAAAATCCCACCCATACCAAACGTAATGAAATGTAGAATACGAAAAAGACCTATTGATGTTAACGAAGTAGATGTTCAAAATGTTCACCGCGAGCGTCTTGGCAACATCCTTATCCCAAATAAAACTATCTACTAACAATATTTAGCATATCAGGCGTGACCGACCTAATTGCAAGCGTTATTCGTTCTTTTGATTCATTCAAATCTCATGGTTTAGGTAATCGCGCTGGCCTTTCAATTGATCCTTTTCTCCCTAGCTACCGATTGGTAAATGTTATATCGAGGTATTCCCGGATATTAACTTGGTAATGTGGTGGTGCTCCATCCTGCTGAAACCATATCGTATTCACTGGAACTGGAGGCTTTCCTGGATCAGGATATAAATTTGATAAACTTAGAATGGCATCATTTTGAAGTAGTGCCAAATAATAATCGCCATTCAAGTTGCCCTCAATGAAAATGGGACCAATGATTTAGTTTCCTTCAGCCCCTGCCCAAACATTAACCTTTTGGGGGTATTGCGTGTGTTCTTCTCTCATCCAGTGAGGATTTTCTGTTGACCAGTAGCGGTAATTTTGCCGACTAGCATGACCGTTAAGAGACAAAGTACACTCATCAGAAAAAATAACGTTTTCTAATTGGATGATAGTGTTATCCAACATGTCCATCATTTGCTCACGAAAATAAGTTCTTCTATCAAAATCGTCTTCCATGAGCTCCTGAGTAGGAATCATTTTATAGGGATGCATTTTATTTTCTTTTAATAAGTTTACTATCGATGTATGGCTACTCGATGTATGTGTGTTTTCCTCAAAAGCATCACATCTAAATTGAGTTCATCACTCATTACATTGGCAGCTGCTTTTTTATCAGCCCCACATGACAAGCTTGCGACACTGCTTCTCTATTTTGCTTACCGTTACTTGAGATATGGGCGGTGAATCAGGAAATTTCTCATGAAATACTTCCTGTTGTGTTCGGGTTTCATCTCCTTAACCAATCATTTGTAAAACTGTTATTTTATGCATTTTCGTTAATCTAACCATTTGTCAGACTTGAAGTTAACGTACTTTAAACTTAAATTGAAATACTGACAACTAATGTTATAATATACAAAACATGTTGACAAGGCGTTTTAAACTAACGTTGCCATGAAAATTATTTAAAGTTTTTTGAAAAATTCCATCTGAGAAGAACATTGCTATGGTTTCTGCTTACTTTCTCATTATCAATACCTCAACATGATATGAGTTTTGAGTATATTGTAATAAATTTTGAGTCTATTTTATCGAATTTCGGTAACCACATAATTTTAATTTATTTCATCTTGTTGAAACACTGACTGCGGTATTATGCAATACTAAAATTACCTTGCATGAAATCCCCAAAGGAAGTTGTGCTGGAAATATTTTTGGATGAAGCATTTCTGTCATAATCCGATTTCTTTGTAGAATCTAACCTACTTCTCGTAAGATCTGTAGATTTCTGTAATAAATATTATTTCAATATTCAATATTAAAATATGAAAAAAATAATATAAGATGTTATGTAATACCTTCACCGTTGAAGTAGAAGGTTCCTTGATTCGTGTAGATCCTGAGTAAATACTTGGACCTGATTTATTCCATGGAACCTGAAATGTATATTTCACATTATTTTCACACTCCAAATCAAAACATTAAAATAGGGTAATCATATTCTATCTACTCACATCGGAAAAGTCTAGGGATATTTTTATAAANTTGTTAGATTTTTGCTTTAGTGACCTACGTACGTAAATGCTGTCCATCGTTGTTGTTTTATCTGTTGAGTGGTTTGATTCTTGTTCTTTTTTTTTATTTGATTCTATTTTCTAATTTATCTATTGTCTTTTGGGTGTATCCGTTCTTGTTGGCTATTTGGTATTTGATTTTCCGTTCCTTGTTCCGGGCTTCTTTGCTAAGTGGTATCCTTAACAGTCTGTATAGGAATGTGTTATAGGCAGCCATTTTGTGTGATGGTAGGTGATTTGAACGTACGGGTATGGTGGAGCTTGTTTGTGTAGGTTTCCTGCCATTTGTGTTTGTGTAGGTATATTGCCATTTGAAATTGTGTTTTGTTGTGTTTATATCCGATGGTTATGTCCAGGTAGTTGAGTTTCGAGTTGTTTTCTTCCTCTATGCTGAAAATCAGTTTTTTATTTATTTGGTTAATTTCCTTTGTTATTTGATCTATTCTTATTCCATTTTTTTGTGATATGTACACTCCTTTGTCAACGTATTTGAACCATTCTCCTTTTTCATCATGAGTTTTTATTATTGTTGAGATTTTCTCATCTATGGTTTGCAGATATATTTCGAATATAATGCTAGGTACTGGGGATCCAATTCGCTAGTCCATCTGTTTGTTTATAAATTTTTCCTTCAGATTCGAAATAGTTTTGGTTGAGTATTGTATTTAGGCTCTGTTCCATCTAATTAATGTAGGTTCTGTCTATGTTTTGGTGTTTTAGTTTATCTGTAATGATTTTTATACTTTTGTTGACTGGTATGTTGGAGTAACATATACTCCAACATACCCGTTTTTGGCAACCAAGTGTTCCCCATCTCTGCACTTGGCTACACCGTGCTGATGAGGCTAATAGCCAGAAACACTTGTCCGCGGTTTGCCAATAATTTTTCTTGAGTGCTCTTCCGACTAATCTTTTTATGCTTTTCATTATCCTCCCTATCCTTTTGAACACATGCCCACAAGGTGGGTAAATGATAAAATATTCCAACCTACGATTTACCTATTACGTAGTGAGCGCTACACCGTAGACTTTCATAAAATATGAATGCCTTGTCTTTTGGTGAACTGGTGAAGTTTATTTAGACTTTTTGCGTGACTTTTTAATCGTGACTTCAGTTTTGGAAGCCCCTGTTCTTAAATCTAATAAAGTGTTGAGAATTTTACGAAATTGATTTAAAATCGTGATATTGAGTTACTCTTTAGTTTTAGTGAATTTAGTTTTTCTATCATTACTTTGTCGACTTATTTTGCATGCACGTATTGAAGTGTGAAGATCCATTGACTGTACTGTATTCATTCATTTATATTCCCGAGTAAAAGTGAACTGAGAAGTGACGCAGGTTGGATTGTACTTCTATATGTGGATATTTTTGTTTTAGCGAATGCCAGATTGTTTGACACATCATTGTTGTTGCATTCTATAATTACGTGCGTTTATCTTTTATAGACTATTTCATGTATTGATTGTATTTATATATCTGACTAGGTTTTTCGATTACACATTGATGTATATGTAAACACTCATTTCTAATATGAATAAAGTAATGTACTTTATTTCATCCACACTAACTCGTAGATCGATTATTCTTAGATGACTTGGATCAAATAAATGTGTTTTCATATGGGGTTAAATGAAATGAAATTTAATAAGGAAAACTAATCCAAATCGAGAACTTATGCACCACAAACAGTAAAATCTGGAATTCTTCTTAAGGAAAAAAAAATTAAACAAAAAATTTGTTTCATCAAGACAAAGAAATTGATTTGAAAACGGGAAAACTTTGTTGGGTGTCTATAAATTGAAATTTTTACTCAACTCAAAAAATAATGTTGAATCATTGAAACAAAGATCAAGACATACATCAGAATTGTGACAACTTTTGTTGACTCATTTCGCCGCCCAAGTTGGTATCATTAAGAGTTGAGCAGTCGTGATCGGTTTAGATCATCTTCTGATGATCTAAACAGCAACAACACTGGAAAGCTACCATGAAATGTAGATGGATACATCATCTAATCCCGGACACAACGCGGATCTGCCTACCCAAGCCCTCACAGGATACTGATCTTTCCGCACCTATGTGAAATATGTTAGAGAAAAAACACAAACCATACACGGCGTATACTGCAATGAACCCGATGATTTGAAACATGCCGTGGCATTATGTTCCAGAAAGAACTTACAGAGGATGGAAGCCACTCTTTGTTTAGGGGGAGGAGGTGCCATTACAATGTATTTTATTTGCCACAGAAATTTCAAATGGGCATACTTTGCCTTATATTTTTGATTTACATTTCTTCGTAAATTTATTACAGCATCGTAAATTTATTTTTTTCTAGTGGTAGTAGTAAACTTAGGATACTTAGGAAAATTTCAGCTTCATAACGAAACCCATTAGTTTGTATGGTGAGTGGTCTTTCAGGTAAGATGGTAAGAGTACGGCTCTGCCGAACTCTAAAAACCTGATTCAGTCCCCGGCGGGGCAGGCACAAAGTTGTTGCTCTGCTGTTTCATCATTTTCCAAACAGAGGCGATACACACTATCTTCAGACAGTCCGAGTCTCTCCATATGATGATTCAAATGACAGTGACCAGTGAGAAGGCCTGTTAGACATCGTAGTTCATCCCTACTGTAGTCCAACAACTGTTTGATATCAAGCTTCGAAGGGTGAATAAACGCCGTGGAGAGAGCCAATCCTGGAAGATTCTGCCAGAAGTCCATAAATCTTCTTGTCAGCCAGGTATTCAATCTTTGTTTGGCAAACCTTGAAGCGATGCCAGTGACAGGTTCTGGACAGACCGGAAACAATCTATTAAGTCTTCCTATCAAGGAGAGTCTTTTTTGGCAATTTGCCAATTTATACTGGTTATTGCTCGAATGAACCAAAGTTAGCCATACTGTTTGGTGGTCAGCGGCTGGTGTGATTCACTATAACTTTCTGCCACCGGGCCAAACCATCACAGCAGAGTCCTAATGTGACGAAATCAATGAAATGTACCGAAATCTGCATCAGCAGCATCTGGCACTGCTTAACAAAAGAGTTTCGATCCTGCTCTACGACAGCACACGCCCGCACGTTTCACAAATCACCTTCCGAAAATCAAACCAATTGAGTATCGAAGTTGTGCCTTACCCACCATATTTCCCAGATCTGTCGCCAACCGACTACCATTTTTTAAAGCACTTCGATTACTTTCTCACCGGTAGAACATTACAGCGAATTTTCTGTTTTTCCTAAAATAAAACGTTCAACATTTAATTTCTCAATAACAAATGGACCAATTTAAAAAAATATATACAGAAGTAATAGAGGAACAAAAGACCTTTCAAATGAAGTATCACTTGACCCCCCATGCCATTGAAAAATATAGAGGGGGTAGTTGCTGACCGCAGGGTGGTGAAGTTTCGGGTATGATTTCCATATCAGAATTAGTGTCCCTAGAAATAAAACTTGACGTACTGTTTGAAATTTTGAATTGCACGTCCGTTAATGTCTTACAGGTGGGGTTAAGTTTTCGCTGGAACGCCATATAAGGTACCGTTGGGTAATAAGGCCAGACAGGTTGTAAGGCCATAACGTTCAAAGTCACAACAGAAGCATTTTTCTATGCTCCTAGCACCATCTGCATGAAGAAAGCTTCCAAATGACCTGAATGAAACATGGATTGGCGCAGTAGCGTTTCCGTTAGATGGCTGCACGTTGTCAACAGATTTCTTGGATTTTTATTCATCGACTTATATAATTAGCTACAAAGAGGTGAGTGATATTTTCATTATCACACAAAATTGTTGTCTATATATTTAGGTAGGTATGTTCATGTTGATATTAACAATTGATGTATACTATTATTTTGAGATATTTGTTGATTGATAATTTCTGATAACCTTGAAAAGTGTGAACGTGTTGGACGTGTAAAAAGGCTTAGGCCTTATTACCTGCCTAGACAAGCATTGAGGCCCGGCCTTATTACGCGGCTTAAGTATTTACTTGTATCTTTTTTTTTAATTTTCAGATATAGGTAAGAAAAATCAAGAAATTAGGGCTAAGCGGTCAGAAGACATGACGGAAGAAGCCTTACAACTGTTAAGGCTAGGCCATTCCCAAGACTCTGTGTCACAGCGAAGTGGTATGCTTCGTCGGACATTGAGAAACCACCTAAAAACTGGCTCAAAAAACGATTATTAGGATCAAAATCCATCCTAACCAAACAACAAGAAAATGACGGTGTAAAAAATAATCAAATTCGCTTACTTCCTAGTGTACTTCAAAGAAGCATTTACAAAATTTGTGAAATGCTTAATATACCCCATTTAACAGAGAAAAACAATTAGCGGGAAGGAATGCTACCGATCATTTATGAAACGTCACTCAAATATTTCTCAGTGAAAAGCATAGCAGCTCAACCCAGCGCGTGCCCAAAAATTGAATCATTTTATTGTTGATAATTATTTTAAAACGTTGAATAATCTTATGGAGCGAACTGGCCTTAAATACAACATTGGGAACATTCATAACATGAATGAAAAGGGTTGCAGGCTTATGCTACACCATCAGCAGCTAGTGTTGGCTAAAAAAGGATCCAAAAGTGTGACTTTGGTTGGATCAGAACACGGGGAAAATGTAACGATCGTTGCCTGTGCAAGTGCACTCGGTCACGAAATACCACCCATGATTCTATTTGAAGGGCAGAGGTTTAACCCCACGTTTACGGATGGGTTTCCAGCAGGTTCTGTTGTGCACATGACCCCAAAAGAGGGCATAGCATGACAACGGAGATTTTCATTAAATGTTTGGACCATTTTTCAAACTTTATGTCTCCTCCTCCAACGATCCTTATTTTTTCTAGCCATTTAGATATTA